GTCTCCCTTTCTTCAAATTTTGTGCGTTTTTTTAAACTAATTTTTCCAGTTCCCATTACTTTTTTTTTTTAACCTAGAAGTTGGAAGGAAAAGCTTTCTTTCACTTATGAATGCAATAAATACTTCTTAAAAACCTACTATGTGTCAGAGGGTAGGCCAGGAGCAGAATGCAAACTGGTAATAGAAATAATGTAATTTTGCAACATGGATGGACCTAGAGATTATCTTACTAAGTGAAGTTAAATCAGACAGAGAAAGACAAATATCATATGATATCACTTATATGTGGAATCTAAAAAAAAAATGATACAAATGAACTTACTTAAAAAACAGAAAAAGACTCACGGACAGAGAAAACAAACTTATGGTTACCAACGGGGAAAGGGGTGGGGAGGGATAAATTAGGAGTTTGGGATTAACATATAAGCACTACTTTATATAAAATAGGTAACCAGGAAGGACCTACTGTATAGCACAGGGAACTATTCTCATTATCTTGTAATAACCTATAATGGACAAAAATCTAAAAAAGAATACATACACACACGCACACACACAAAACTGAATCACTTTGCTGTATACCTGAAACACTGTCAACCAACTATACTTCAATTAAAAAAAAAAGAAAACAGCCGTTAGAGAGTTCTTTGGAAAAACTAGTCTCCGAAACTAACCTGCACTTGGATAGGACTTTGCAGTTTAACCACTTCCCATTACAGATCACAAGCTACTTTGGTAAAGGCTTTGCTTTGAGTTTAAAACTAAGTAAATCTAACCGAATCACTCCGCTGCACACCTGCAACTAACACAACCCTGGAAATCAACTAACTATATTCCAATATAAAATAAACATTAAATAAAGCATCTGCTTAAAAAAAAACGAAGTAACTCTACTGATGCCTCTATTTTATCAGCAACATTTCCTAAGTCCCTCCGGTGTACTAGGCAATGTGCTAGAAATCTGGGATGTAGAGAAACATCAAGGACAATTTCTAACCCCAATCTACTTTTTACGCTGGGGAAATCCTCTCAAAGAGAATCAACAATCTCTTTAACTCAGCTGAGTATGAAAAAGTGCTTTCAGAAATACTGGCTGACCAGAGAAGAGAATAACTCACCGCGAGTCAAGGGCACTCATCAGGGGAAACAGGATGCAATAGGCCTCTACTTTCTCCTGCCACCTGGGATCGAACGAGAGTCCAGCAGCGTCTAGCCACGGAGCCTCAAGGCTGAGAAAATCCCAAGGCAGAGTAACCTCTTAGCTGGCACGTTCTGGTCACTTGCTGCTCTGAGCACTTAGGCCACATGCGTATTCCTGATGGGCTTGACCATGGAATGACATCATTCAGGAAGCTGCAGTTAAAGACCAGGTGACTGCTTCCCAGCTCTGCATTTGTTTTCAGGAGATACAGTGAATGGGAATTCTACTGGTCTTTGCAATGCCTGCGATGTTGACAGTATCTGGGGATCACCCACACACCTCTTCCTCTATGAGATTTATTTCTGCCCTGGTTGGTGACAGCATAGTTCATCAAGTCACTTTGATTCCTTTTTAAAAGGTGGGAGTACAAACCAATAAATAAACAAAAATTTTATTTTGGCCTCTCTTGGGTCGTCAATATTAACTGGCCAACTTAGAATTATCTCCATGGATGCAAAGTATCTCACAGTTAGGTGAGAAAAAGGGTCAGGGGGAGGGGGGAGTAATAGGATTTTAAGAAAACATTCCAACCAACAAAGACTGGGCCTCCAGAGTCTGCTATATCACACACAGAGGAATATCCTGGGAGATGGGCATTTTTCACTTTTTTCCCTTTTTTTTCAATCAGCTTACCCAATTGATGTCTGCTCACGGATACTATTTGAGGAGGAAAAAAATCAGGCAGCAGAGCGGAAGAATTTTTGGTGAACTGTACTTTTTACTTTAGTCCTGTCATTAAGCTTTTCATGAAATCAGGACCCAGCTTCAGTGAAGGATGAATTTTGGAAGGAAGGTGGTTGGACCTCAACTAATCAGCTGCCGTTCCTATAGAGTCTCCTATTCTGGTTGAAGCACCCAGGACCCTGAGACGCATCCCAGCTGTTTCCTCCGAACCCCATCACATCCCATGGTCTGCACCCTGTAACGTGTCCACACCCCATCTCACTCCTGTCTCCAAGAGCGTTAAAGCCACTCGGAACACAGTTTCTAGTCCCTTTTCCACACGACTCCCAGGAAGGCAAATCAACTTCAGCGACGCACTTCATCCCCCTTTAAAGAATCCTGCCGTCTGGCTAGATTTTTTGCAGGATGAAGACCGTGGTACCCAGTTTTGGTCACAGCCGTGTCTCGGTGGCTGTTCACAGGAAGTGCTCAGTAACTGCGGAGTGTCTCTCACCTGCCTCTCCAGCACATCTGCCGTTTCCCTCAAGCCACACTGGTCTCCCAAGAGTCCCGAGACCTTGAACTCCGTGCTTTTGCCCCAGGCATCCATGAGGCTTAGGAGACTGTACCTGCACGCACTCACACCTACTGTCTCACCACGTCCATCAGGAAACCCTGCTTCACCTTTCACCAAGAGCACACGGTCTCTCCCCACACAGCCCCTGGCCTTGGATCAGTCCACAGAAGCCTCGTTTTCCTCCAGGATCCCAGAGGCTCAAGGCTGGGCTGGGATCAGAACACAGCAGGTTTCAGACTCAGGGGCACAGGCTCAGCTCTCGAGGGAGGTCCTGGTATGATTTCACTCCCATCACAGGTAAAACAGGCTTTTGGAGGCTGGCCTGGGTACCCAAAGGTTAATTATCCACATCCCTCAATGAAGTTCTTGTCCCCCAGAGATTGATTATTCATTGTTTCTATGGGGGAGAAAAGCTTTCCATTCACAAATTGGAAACTACCTGAACTTTACTGCCAGTTACTTTATTCTTGCTTCTTTAAAAATAAACTCTTTGGGCTTCCCTGGTGGCGAAGTGGTTGAGAGTCCGCCTGCCGATGCAGGGGACGCGGGTTCGTGCCCCGGTCTGGGAAGATCCCACATGCTGCGGAGCGGCTGGGCCCGTGAGCCATGGCCGCTGGGCCTGCGCGTCCTGAGCCTGTGCTCCGCAACGGTAGAGGCCGCAACGGTGAGAGGCCCGCGTACCGCGAAAAAATAATAATAAAAAATAAACTCTTGGCCAAACCTGATTTACCTCTGATCGATCGGAAAGCCATGCTGTCCTTTCCTCCTTAAACAACAAACAGACATAGTTTTAAGGGACATTCAACTAGTTATTCCCTGGTGCCCAGGATCCTGAAACAGTTAACACCCTTATTAAACCAGAGAGTTCTGTGTGGTTGAGGTTCTGGTAAACACACGACCCAACTGTTCAGGAAGATGATCTGTGAGGTTCGAGTGCTCAGAGCACTTCAGGAACACCCCAACCCCATCCTGACTACCCAGCCCTAGTGTTTGGCAGAGATATAATAATTTTGAAAAATAATGAAGGAACGATAAAAGGGATGAAAGCTAAACACGGCTGATGGTTAATCTCTACATCTTCCAATGTCATGCAGTTCTTCAACTAATTTAAAATACCACTGAAGTGAGATGAATCTCTTTAAATATTTTATCAACAAGACGCTGTAAGATTTCTTACACACACATTACCACACTTTTCATTTAATTACTGATCAAACGTACAAGTTGAAAAGACGAAGATCTTGCCATAAACCAGAATAATTTGTGAGATGACAGCAAGCAGGCCTATGCTATCTTCCTCTTGATTTTTAAAAAAAACTGTTCTTGAGTAAAACACGTAGACTTAGTTAAATAGAACTTTCCTATTTCTTGTGGTTAACACAGAAACCATACAGGACCCAGTGCTGGCATGGTAAACCTTTGAACACTACATCTATGAAATTCTGTTGTCTTTTTAAATTTTCAGTAACATTTCTTTTTGCTATATTTATCACATTTTCCAAAATATGAAAATGTTCCTTTCCTTTTAAATGTTGACTACATGTGAAAAATTAACTCTGGTTCTATTACTTCAAACTATCCCTTTATTAGCAACAGTTGTGCAGGGCTGTCAAGAGGCATTTTAAAACGAAAGCACCAAATTTGGAGTGTAGACACATCTGTTTTACTTTGCAGTATGTTTTATTGTTTTATTTCTAAGGATATGAATTCACAACTATCTTATAACTGAAGACTAAAGAAAAAACATATGTTGGTAAATCTGATTTCTGCATTTTTTTCATTCAGGGGGAGTTGCCCCCCTCAGCTGTCTGCCAATAAGTAATAAACGGACTTGGCAAAAAGTTTATTTAAGTTGGCTTTATTAAGCCAACAAAATACAGAAATCAAGTACGGGACAGGCAGACAACTCTGTTCCTTTGAAGTCGCTAAAAATCCATCTCCTTAATCCTTTTTTTGTTCCAAGCAGTGGTGATTTTTCTCAACTGACTCACTGGGAGCCTTGAGTTAGCTAATCTGTCTTGCTTAGTTATCCTTCTTCTCCAAAGCTTTCCTAAAGAAGCATCCTTTCCCTTTCCCCCTGACAACCGTCATCTTTTATGCTTGCATAGTGGTGCATCTGGTTATAAACATTCTCTAGTTAATCCTGATAGAGATTTAGGAAACAGGTTTTTAATGACCAACCATATTTTACAAGAACAAAAACAGCAGGAGCTTGCAAGCTGAAACAAAGGGTGCCGAGAAACGACCAACAGCAGAAAGGTGGCCAAAATGTGACACCTTGCGTCTTTCCTAACCCTCTGTCGTGGCGTCACCCACCCATCATACCCATCAGGGAAGAACACTCAGGACTCCAGACACAACTCCTCCCCCGTACGCCACACCACCCACTACAGGGCTACGACTCGGCCAGGAACACACACAGGAAAACATAACTGAGCTGGAAGATTTCACGATTAGAAAAGAAGGTCATTATCTTGCAAGAACAAAAACACAGATGGACCTCAAGACACTTGAAGGTCAGTATCATTTAGTCATTTTTATGAGGAAAGGATTCCTTACCTAAACTAAAGAGCACCAAGAATTTCAGACACACGAACTCTCGTTGGTCAAACTGTAGAGAACGAAGCTTTGCCACCAGCTCCTGTGCGTGACTCATGAGGTTGTTGAGTGTGGCCCCCGCTTGCGAGGCTATGATGGAATAGTCCACCTGCAACACAGGATCAGTTTAGGGGGTTTTCAGAACCGGAAATTCTATATTTATTTATTTATTATTTACGTTAAAATGGATATATGTCTACACACATATATTAAAAATATGTATACATATATATTTCCCTTGAGACTTTTAAGCACTGTGGGTAAAATCAGGTTGCAGTATAGATTCATAACACAGGGGACTTTCCCCACGAAAACAGTTTGAGACACATTCTATTATTATAAACCGTATCATAATCATTCTGATCCATCTAATCATTTTGATAAGCCTTGTAGGAAGCAGGTCTTGACTGCCTCAATGGTACACGCAGATACCTTTATCTTTTTTCCTACTGCGAAGTGACGTCATCACCTAAGATGAAAATTGTCAGCTCATGAGTAAGTTTAGAGAAAAATATACTGTCCCTAAAAAGTGAATCCAGGGTGGCATTCTATATGCACATGAAGTTAATTAACGAGGCAAGTGAAGGCAGAGATATGTTTCTAATTTTATTAAGAGACTTCATTTTAAAGTAATCATTGCTCAAGACTGCATGCTTACGGAGGATGAGAGAATCACATTTAGATTACTCTTTGATTTGCTGTTTCCTCAAAAGCTACAAAGACTAGCTACTTGCCTATGATTGTCAATACATTTCTCTCTAATGACAGCAGTGATCTTATTTATGAGAAGAATAATTTCTTGATTCAGACAACAAAAAAGGTGTATTTTCCTCTTCATTGAAACAAACAAACAAAAAAAGGGGCTGCAATGCATCCATCTCAGATTATTCACGGGGACACTGAAAGTTCAATTTACAATAATAAGTTAAAATGTAGGGGTGGCTATCAATGGCAGAACTGGCTCTGCAGCTGCAATTACAGCATAATGGGAAAGCCCAGTTGGTACCTGACGCTCCCATCCTTTTTTTTTTTTTTTTTTCCTTTTACTGGCGAGCTCTCAGGCAACCAGATACTCTTTTAGGTGCATTTAATATTTGCAGCGGCAGCAAATTTGTCTGGGAGGCAAGCCCTCATCTGCCACTCACCCGGAGCAGACTGTATTAAATTTTTATATTTATTGACATTTCATTACCATAATTGACTGCACTTGCTTCTCTAGGAGAAGGCACAGGGCTGCCTCCTAAGCAGGAGAATGAGTCCCTTGAGGAGAATTTGCAATTAAAAACAAGGAAGGATGTATTTTTTTTTTATTGTGTAAATATGATGAGTTGAATTTTCAGCTTTAACTTGAGAATACTGAGTGTACAGAAACCTTTTTTTGAGAGTGAGAAAAATTATGAGTCAGTGGAAAGACGGCCCCTCCAGAGGTGTCAATCAGTTTATAGAGCATCAACTGCACGTGAAAAAGCTCCAGTCTGTACGTGTCCTGGGGAGGCCCCCGCATCACCACCGCACTGTCCTACTCGCCTGGTCCAGGTGCCCGCATCTCCCCACTAAATTCAAACATCAACTGTCCTAAGTGCGCCTGTGGTTTCTGTTGCAGATTGTGTGAAAGGAAGGGCCAGCACACAGGCAGCCTGAACCATGAGCCGGAAGCAGAGGATGTCACAGACCACGTGAGGGTCACCTGCCTGGCACTCCCAGGGATGTCCCAACCATCACTGTACCAGCTCTCTTACAGGAGAACTTTCTACTCCAAGGATGTTCTTCTTACTTAACAGGGGTGGCTGAGCTCTGAGTCCCTTAGAAACCGTACATGGTCTAGCTACTCCACATGATAGTAATATAAATCCTATAGGGGCAACTGGGGTAGAATTGGGAATGGCAGACAGGGCCAGAGGTAGAGGAAACCTGGGACAAGACAGGAGAGGGTGTGGGCCAGTGAAGCCACTGACGAAGCAAGAGCCTTGGGTAGTCATAAGAAGGGTCCATCTTTCGTGCCCCCATCTCTCAGTGAGGCACTTGAGCTGGATACTAGTAAGGTGACACCCACTTCCATTGTTATCAAGAAATGAGAGTAGTTGGGACAACACTGCCAACTTAAGCTTGGAATCAATTGCTGAGAGCATCGTTGGTGTAGCTTAGAATGTACATAACCTTTTTTTTTTGGGCTGCAGTGTGTGGCACGCGGGATCTCAGTTCCCGGACCAGGGATCAAACCTGCGCCCCCTGTCGTGGAAGCGTGGAGTCCTAACCACTGGACCGCCAGGGAAGTCCATGTACGTAACACATTTTCATAAAAATCACTAGTGGATCCCTAAACCAGGAAGGTGTACTACTAAAATAAGCCAGAAATATGTCGGTATTAATTGATTTTTTATTATTAAGATGGGGTTAATTCAATTTTGCTATGTCTGTGGTTCTAACAGGTAGGCAGTAAGTTCAAATACTAGACCTTCACAGTTGCAAATGTAGTACATTGTAACTGAAAGGACTCGAAATAATTAACTTTTTAAAAAATATGGGTTAATTAAAATTTGCTATGTGTGTAACTTGAACAGGTATGAAATAAGTTCAACTATGAGAACTTCATACTTGGAAAATAACATGCTCTAATGGAAAGGGACTGAAATGGTTTCACAGGATTCTGTACTTAGTGAGAAGGACTTCAGGAAATCAATTCTGACGCCAACAACTTTATTGCTATACATTTATTTACACGCTAATTTGAAAGCCCAAACATGCTTATGAAATGGGGGCTCTGATGACATTTCTTTCAAGGATAATTTATCAAATTGCGTGGCTCTGAAGGAGGGGCAGTGATTTATTCCTGAAACAGCGCCCAGATCGGCAACTTCCTGACATTTTATTACAAACATAATTATATTTTCATTGTTGAATGCGGAGTTTGCCCTCATTTCAGGAGCAGCTGGCCTTGTCTTTCACGTACTTAGTAAAATTAATTTATCGCTCTCTTACGTGGAATCTTTGTGCCATTCAATTCAACAGAGATATTGAAGAAATGCTATAAGCGGATATCCCCTTCGGATAAATTTCACTCATCATGAAGGTAGCAACAGTTGTAGCTAAATTGCTTTTAGTTCTAATAGCTGCAATTTTTGATGACTTGTATGTTGTAAGATGCCTGTCTTTTTAATACGATACACAATAATAGAAGGTAATGAATAAGGTGCCGGTAGTCCTTTCCCTTAGGAAAATCTTACAGCAGCTGTTAATTAGCTACAATATGCAAATACTGAAATGTGATGGCACACCAACATCCTCCACTGTTGTTTTATATGTACACATACAGCCATATGTTTTGTGTGCGTGTATTTTTAAAATACTGGATAGAAACGAATTCTCGTCATAGTGATAAAATGCTCAGTATTTGGAATTGATTTGGCAGTGCTTAACGTCACTGATAATCATGACTTCCTTTTGGCTCAACGAGGTTATTTAATGTACACTTACAGAAGCCAGACTGAAAGACAGAACTAACATAGCTAACTTAAGGGTTAAGTAAGAAATTCCGTGGTGTTGGCAAAACGCAAAGTCGCAATAATTGATAGTAAGGACCAGAAATGCCATCTACTCCTTGACTGTTCTTGGTTTGGAAAACCAGAGAAAGAAATGCACTTTCTCTACTTTTTACATGGTAATTACCTTTTACCCAGGGGCAGCACTTAAGGCAAAATGAAACACGGAATAAGGAGCATCTCGAAAGAGCAGGAACGGAAGTGCTCTGCGAAATAATGACACAAACCCATTTGATTTCTGGAACTCAGAGGATGAAATCAAATTAATTTGTGGGCTGAGTCTTGTTCTTCTAATGCAGCTCCCAGTCGGGTTTCGGAGGGAGGGGGTTGGGAGTCAGACCCGTGATTCAAACTCTGAAAATGGGTACACTTCTCCCAAAGACCTGAGCCACGGGATGAAAAGACTCAACAAAAATTCCCGAGATCAGGAAGTAAGCCCACTGAGGCTTGATTCTGGAAAGCCTCTCTCATGAATAGTGCAGAAAGCACAGACCAGACAGTGATGAGACCGATCCAATCCGCAAAAACTCCGAAAGAATGCTTTCCTTGAATTTGCTTGGGAACATGTGGTTTATTTATAATTCAGCAAATGATGTGGAGACAGCCTTTCATTTTCAAATATGCACTGCTGGGGTTTCACAGCACATAGACATTTATGGCCGATGTAGAAGATCACAGTGCCCGAGTCCCGAAGCACCGTTCAACGCATGCCTGGAACAGCCCAATGGAGTAAACAGATCTCTGCCTTCCTTGCATCCATTTTAATAACACACCAGTTATAAAACGGGGGCTAAGAAATGGGAGGGACAGGGCTTCCCTGGTGGCGCAGTGGTTGAGAGTCCGCCTGCCGATGCAGGGGACGCGGGTTCGTGCCCCGGTCCGGGAAGATCCCCGATGCCGCGGAGCGGCTGGGCCCGTGAGCCATGGCCGCTGGGCCTGTGCGTCCGGAGCCTGTGCTCCGCAACGGGAGAGGCCACAGCGGTGAGAGGCCCGCGTACCGCAAAAAAAAAAAGAAAAAAAAAAAAAAAAGAAATGGGAGGGACAGGCCAAAATCCTGTAAAGTTGGAATTAGGCCCATTAAGTAGACTTTCTCTTCCCCCAGGTGCCCAGAAGGTCAAACGACTCTCTTCCTTTAAACCTTTGCTCAAATCTCACCTTCTCAATAAGGCTCAACCAACCAGTCCTATTAACACTGCAACCCAAGGGTCACTCAGCAACACAACCACAGATGTACGTTGATTCTCCTTTACACAACAGTTCCTTTTTAAAAAAAATTCAATAGCACTTTGACCTCTAACATTTATTAGGATTATTGATTATTGTCAGTTTCTCCTGTGACAGTGTTAAGCTCCGTAATGGCTGGACCCTGTAGGATGTTCAGTAAATATTTGTTGACTGAACAAATACCTATTCAGAAAGGAGCGCAGGACCTCGCTGTCATTTCCTCTTTCCACCTTCCTTTTCAATAATGACTGGTTCTTACTAACTAACACTAACACTCCCTTCCCTTCTCACTTGCTTGCCATTAGGCCAAATATTTAGACGATTGATCTATGAGTCGGTCTCTTCCACCAACATGATTCCAAAATAGCGAGGATTCCACCATTTCTAAGGTGTTTTTTTAAAAGGCAGACAAACAAGTGTGGTAGATTCATGCAGAAGCTTGAGGAAAAAACCCTGGGTGCTAACCATTAATTCTGATTTAGCAACTGTTCTGACCCTTCAAAGCACAACTTTCAATCCCAGAAGCCTGGAAGCGGCAGGCTGTGATCACGCCAGCTTTTACAAGTTTCACCGTAATCACCCAAGCAGGAACGGAGCACACCAAGTCAGCTTTTCTAAATTATTTGCAGCCAATGTCCCTTTCAAAGCACAAAAGTGCTCCTGACCTAGTTAAATTCCTGCCATCTTGAACGTGCTTAATAAAAAGACACTTTTTTTTTTGCTGTCTACACTCACCTGTTGCCCAGTAACCAGAAAGATGGAGCCTTCCTTTCCGTGAACCACTTGTCGGTAAATGTGGTCGAGAATTAAGAGCTCACTCCAGCAGTTCTGAAGCAGCTTCATTTGGTCATCAACCTGTAAAAGAAATAGAAAAAAATGACACTGTAACTCAGTATTTTTTTTTTTTTTGCATGATTTTTTACCTGAGAACCCACTATAAGCAAGGAAGGACCACCGAAGCACAGATGCTCAGAATTTCCATCCTTCCTCCTGAAAATCATTCTTTTCATTTGGACAAATACTTTTTAGGCCACATATAAATACTTCAACTAAATATTTATAATCAATGAGCTGCTAGGAAAAGGTACTCTATTAGATGGGTCTATCATTAGATCTATTAGCATTTGCTTGTGGGAGGTCCAGGCGCCTCAGACTGTCCTCAGTGGACCCCATTAGAATGACCCCAAATAGAGCTTCCCTGGTGGCGCAGTGGTTGGGAGTCCGCCTACCGATGCAGGGGACGCGGGTTCGTGCCCCGGTCCGGGAGGATCCCACGTGCCGCGGAGCGGCTGGGCCCGTGAGCCATGGCCGCTGGGCCTGCGCGTCCGGAGCCTGTGCTTCCGCAATGGGAGAGGCCACAACAGTGAGAGGCCCCCAAAAAATAAAAAGAATGACCCCCAATAGCCCAGGCTTGTGTAGAGGTTAATACATTGAGCCCAAGCTGAAATAGGATATGGGCATTAGCAAGCCACCAAACTGTGAGGATTTATACGAGAGGCAATCGGCAGGACAGCCCAAATGACTTGAACTTAGAGGCACACGGCCGTTGTTTGTCATCAGTGTTCACCCGAAGTCCACGTTGTGCGAGACTTGGACTAGAACAACCACCACGCTTGGTCTTGATGTCCACCTGCACCTGCTCTATGATTTGGACAATTTTCCCACAAACCCCCTACACTTCAGTTTCCACATCTGACAAATGGGCCGAGCACAGTACCCCCCTCACAGGATGGCAGTGGGGAGTAAAATGAAGAGGGCTGCATCACGGTGAGTATTTTATCCACATGGTGTCGCCCCCCAGGGGACCGCATTCTTTCATGACAGTAACATACGCATTTCAGGTACAGGCCACGTATCCACGGTCAAACGTGGAGGGCATGTTGATCCATTTCCATGGCTATTTCTGACAGTTTCTTTTCATTTCGTAATACGTACCAGCCAAAGATCTTGGCGTGCCCCAATACATCACACATTTATACCAACAACACCTAATATTTAGATGTCAGGTAACAGTTTTGAAGAGTTTTGCATATTGTTTTAGACTTAATTCAGAGAACCTGCCTGTGGAGTTAGCAGAACCGGCATCATTTTCTGAAATTTACATTATGAGAAAATATAGTCTCAGAGACTTATTAACTGGTACACCTAGAGGATTCTCTTTCTCTCTCTCAAGCTCTAGGATGTCTCCAAATTACACGGAGAGGTGACAGACTCACAGACATAAGAAACAATCTTATGGTTACCAAAAGGGAAGCAGAGAGTTGTGGGGATAAATTAGGAGTACGGGACTAACAAATATACACTAAATAAAATAGACAGGCAACAAGGATTTACTGTAATAACACAGGGAACAATCAATATTCAGTATCTTGTAATAACCTATAATGGAAAGTAATCTGAAAAAATATATATATATATAACTGAATTACTTTGCTGTACACCTGAAACTAACACAATATTGTAAATCAACTATACCCATATTTTTTTAAAAAAGAAAAAGAGGCGTTAGAATTTTCTGAACTGAATTAACTTAACTCACTTATAACAAATTCATCTTTAAGCAGATATTTAATGAGATTCTGGACGGTTGGGTGATTCTTAGGAAGTTTCCACTCATATATTACCAGTGATAGGAGCTTAAGGATGACTATTTCCATGAGTCTAGAAAACAAGACAGTACTGAACTTAGACTAAAGCAAGGGTTCGAGGTACAACTGTGCACTTTCCAGCTCTGAGAGCTTGGCCAAGCCATTTGGTTCTCTAAGCCTCATCTTCCCACCTAAAAATACAAGAGATAGTTTTTGTCTTGAGGATGGAATGAATAAAGTGTGAAACAATACACTAATGAAGAAACAATGCCAAACACAAGGCTCCCAGTTGGAAGACCATATTGATCCTGTTGAGAAGGAAAAAAGGTAACTGCAGAGATTGAAGCTACAGTCAGGCTCTGTGATCAGGAAAAGACATCCCCAAACATCTCCGTCAGAAAGGATTTGTTCTAACCAAAAGAATTTCACTCATTAAGTGAATAGATGTTCAGAGCCATTTAATGTTGAGTCTAAGTGCTGGGTCTGGGGTATAATGGTGAACAAGGTAGAAGCAGTCTGTACCTTGTGGAAATTACTCTCCTAGGGGAGAACGCTCACCAACACAGGTGAGTGGGTTGGTGACAGAGGGAGCTAGCTCATCCTTCTTCAGAGGAAAAGCTCCAGTGTTGTGTGTACATGTCGGGCTGTGGCGGCAGCTGAAGGAGACCCACGTTGCTGCTCTCTGCGCACAGCTCACACCAGAAGCTGCAGCTACATATCCGAACAACATCGGTGTCCTCACGCCCAGCAGTTTTCAGGGACCGTCCCTCTCAGATGCTCGGGGCAACTTCAGAACCAACTGCACTTGGTTCTACTGGGATTACTACACTTCATTCCAGCTCATACCCTATCAGCGTCTTATTTCAAATTTATCAGTCCACGGCGGCAATTCAGTTCCCCTGCATTTTCTTCTGTGATGTGAAGCTTTAGTTATTAATTTAGCGCTCTTTCCAGGGAAGCTGAAAATACTACACCTTGAGATCGTTTCCCCGGAAACAGTTATCATACCCAAAGGTTGCCAAGAATTGGGGAATAACCTCGAAGCGTGTTTCAAGACGTCTGGACGGGATTCCAGCTTAAGAACCTATTTACACGGCAGGAAGATTTATGATTCCCATCTTGCAGGTGGAAACATGAAAAAGCTAAGAGATGATCTGGCCACGTATTAGAGGAGAAAAGGTGGGGTGACCATTAAAAGCAGCTTGTCTCCTTGGAGCCATCACACTGAGGGGCTTTTCCTCCTCATGTGCATGTGGTGGTCCCTGTCCTTGGTATATAACACGAGAGGAATACTTATGGCAACAGTTTGCCAGCATCAAAGCCTGTTCAAGTTGTAAGATAAGAAACCTCACTCTCCCTGGCCTTCTTTTCTTTTGTGATCAGGATACACTTCCAAATAAGGATATATTTGTGTGTCACGCTCAGAAAAAGAGTGGAGTGTATCATTTTCTGACCTTATTCCTAACTCTGTGTGTGTGTGTGTGTGTGAAGATGGACTGGCTTTGAAAATCTGTATTTCCTGGGTCCTCTGCTGCTTCCGAAGTTGCAGGAATAGATGAAATTGAGCATGTCTATTTCCCACAACTAGCCCTTCATTTTTGGTTTTGTATTTTGTGCCGTTCATGTCATCATGACTCCTTCAGGGCTCGTGGAGGGAAGGGTCGTCTTCACCCGGTGATGAACACACGGGTGACCCTCCCCACACAGGCCGGCAGGTCTGGACCCACCGCTGGCCCTCGGTAAAGACTTCTCGACTGATTGTAATTTTAACACCCCTCTCGGGTAATTGATTCCTTGTTTTAAGGCTCTCTGAGGAGGTTTCCAGGCTGACATTCCATTTCAATATTTCCATAATTGATTATGTGATATTTTATGTTATCTTGAAATGGGAGAGTATGCAGTTTCACGGGGCTTTGGGTGACATAGTTTTTATGCAGCTCTATGAATGAAAGGACAAGGCAAATATGATGACCGACTTGTTCCTTATCTCCAGATAAGAGACGTTGGCAATTTTGAAGATAATTTCTCTTTAGGAAGGAGTGTTATAGGTGATATGGTGGAGGGGGTGGGGAGAAGAGGAGAAAAATAATCTACTACTTTTGAGTAAATTTCCGGGTATGAATGCTGTCAACAAACAACTTCAGGTGGCATTTGGGGAGCCCAGACAGGGGACTGAGGGAGTGTAATCTCCATGACATATCAAAACCTCTCACTAGTTGGTAATACCCCCTCGTACAATCCTGCGTTATCAGCTGTAATAAAAAGAAGGGCTTATCTCAGAACCCTAGTCACTCATCAGAAAAGACTCACGCTGGTATTACAGATGAGCGTGTGAGGGAACACAGGCCTCATATTGTTGTGAACACACCTTCCCACAACCCCGGACGTTAATCATTAGAAAGCTGTGCTTTCTCGTAAGAGGAGTGAATTTGGCAAACAATTAGAAGAAGAAAAATGTGCAGATCTTTCTCAAGCCCAGGTTGAACTTATCAGACCCTTTTTGTTGCCCCCTCAAATTTACCTCTGCACAGTCTGGCCACTGAACGGTTATTCCACTTTCCCTCTTGCAGGGGCATTTATTTGAAAATCGACATCGTGAATCACTGTGGTTAAGCTTTAAGAAAGATATGTTTAGCAAAACATTCAACTGACATGGGTTGGTAATTTAAAGTGGACACGAATCCATTCCTAATTTCGGATCATTAAATCTGGTGTGTGCCAGGCCTTGTGCTAGAAAGTTGGGGGAAAACAGAGGTGGCCAGGACACAATCCCTGCCTTTAAGAAAGGCACACTCCGGGCTTCCCTGGTGGCGCAGTGGTTGACAGTCCGCCTGCTGATGCAGGGGACGCCGGTTCGTGCCCCGGTCCGGGAGGATCCCACGTGCCGCGGAGCGGCTGGGCCCGTGAGCCATGGCCGCTGAGCCTGCGCGTCCGGAGCCTGTGCTCCGCAACGGGAGAGGCCACAGCAGTGAGAGGCCCGCGTACCGCAAAAAAAATAAATAAATAAAAATAAAAGAAAGTAAGAGAAAGGCACACTCCAAGGAGAGGAGACAGGAGTGTACATCCATTATAAAAACCCCATGTGCACTAGAAGCTGGGGGTCACTTTACCCTGCTTCGTTTCTTGGGGAGACTTCCAGGGGGTCACAGAAGCTTCTGAGAAGGGTACGTTTAAGCAGGTCTTAATGTTGTAGAACCACTTAATAAACTTTTTTTTTTCTCAGTAGCTCCTGTGAAAACAATGCTTGGAACAAAGTATTTTAAAAAAACGTGAAGATTCTTCAGAACCATTACAAATAACATCCAGCTATTATTTCTGGACAAAAGAAAACAATCCTCGCAGGTGGACCTCCACTTCCTTATACTTTCTTTTGTGACAATGATGACATTTATAAAGGTATAGTCAGAAGCAGGGAGAGAGAAATCAAAACCCAGACAAATCAGCATCAACTTAGCAACTCCTAATGAGAACCTACTTTGGTCCAGACAGACACACAACTGCTTGACTCCTTTACTGGCTCTACATACAACACTGATGATTATCTGCAACCTCTGTAATAAACTGCTACAAAGTCCAAGAAAAAATGATTTCACACTAACAATGATTAAACAAGCACTAGGAACAATACTGTACAAGGGAAATAACAGCCTAACTCCCCTGTCAATTGTTGCAAAACCCAACAGATTTATGAGCAGTTCTTCCCCGCTCAGAGACAACTGAAGTGATTCCTGTGTATTTATTTGTTAATTGCGGGCTGTCGGTCCAGAGTACAAAGACCTGCCTGGCAACACTTAGCCAGGGACTCAGCTCTTCTCGCCCTTTCTCCGTTTCTGCAGTGGACCAACAAAGGATTTTTTTCTCCCTCTGGGATTGACACTCTCTTCCAGGTGAGGGAAGCAGGAGGCAGAGAGGTCTAACTGCAGGGTACCTGCGCTGTGTTTCCACTCCCACCAACTCCCTCCCATCTAGGTCACGACCAAGAGTCCATGGAAATTAGGACCCCGTGAGTCCACGGTCTTCTCCATCTAGTTGTAATTCATCACATACACCGTCACTAGAACGATCTATTTCGGTCAGGCTACTCCTCTGGACACAAACCTCATCCACATTCCCTAGATTTCCCTCCGAAGACCTCTCCCAAAGCAAACCTCCCTGACCAGTGTGTGGGGGTCAGACACCGATCAGTGTGCCCACTGGCCCATCATCCAGGAACTGAGGGGGTCGAGTGGCTGCCCTACAGCTGATAGCCTCGACCTCCGGGGACATGGGCCCCCTCCACACCATCAGGGGTAAAGTGGTTGGGAAGTGAACACGGGAGCTGTCAGCTGAGGAAGGAGATAGAAGGTAAAACAGACCAGCCCTCAATCTACTTCTTGAACATCTCAATCCAGGGGTAGCAGAGGTGTCAGGGGCATGAGACCTCAGGGAGCCCTAAGGGGACCACCCTGAAACCAGGGTCCAAGAGCAGGTGCCCTGGACCATGATGAGTCAGTAGAACAGGCTCAAAAAATCCTCGGGGGGCTTCCCTGGTGGCACAGTGGTTGAGAGTCCGCCTGCCGGTGCAGGGGACACGGGTTCGTGCCCTGGTCCGGGAAGATCCCACATGCCGCGGAGCGGCTGGGCCCGTGAGCCATGGCCGCTGAGCCTGTGCGTCTGGAGCCTGTGCTCCGCGACGGGAGAGGCCACAATGGTGAGAGGCCTGTGTACCACAAAAAAAAAAAAAAAAAAAAAAAAAAAAAATCCTCGGTTAGGAAGCGAGGGAATCATGTGATTTGTGTTGGAGGCTTTCCATCAACAATCACTAAATTTCTTTTGAAGACGAAAGAATGTTTATCCAGAACATTCAGATGCCTGGTACGCCTTATTTCCCAGGGATGCTGAATTCAATTTTCTTTTATTTAAAGATGGGCTAATGCCAGATATTCAATGTTGACGTTTTTCATTTATATACATGTGAAGCTATTACATCAGTGAGAGACACCTTTGAGGTCTGGAAGAAAAAGACTGCATAGTGTATGTAAACGTGAAATATCACTATTGAGATCTATGTCATCACCACACAACAAGATGTAATTTAACCAATTTCTTTCAAACAGAATTGTAGCTACATTCTCAGAATTTGTCAAAGTGAAGGATAACTTTTGCCCGGATTTTCCCCTTCCGCTTATCCACATTTCAAACAGCTTCTTAGTGAAATATGAATTAATTATAAGTTAACAGTATGTTCATCGTACTTGTGGGGTCAATTAAGAGTTTGCACCCAGTAGTACTGGTAGTGTCTTCTGTTCAGGTTTCTATGTCCGGCCACATAGAATTTACATGATCTGACTAAGTTGAGCGCTAAGAGGTAAAGAGACCATTCTTCCTTGTGGTCTAAGGAACAGATCACATTCTGCTGTTTCAATGTCAAAGCATGTTCATTCTTTTACACAGCTGTCCAGTTTTCCCAGCACCCATTACTGAAGAGACTGTCTTTTCTCCATTGTATATTCTTGCCTCCTTGTCGAAGATTAATCAACCATAAGTACATGGGTTTATTTCTGGGTTTCTATCCTGTTCCATTGATCTATGTGCCTGCTTTTGTGTGAGTACCGTACTGTTTTGATTACTGTAGCTTTGTAGTATAGTCTGAAGCCAGGGAGCCTGATTCCTCCAGCTCCATTTTTCTTTCTCAAGATTCCTTTGGCTATTTGGGGGTCTTTGTGTTTCCATACAAATTTTAAATATTTTGTGTATAGCACAAGGAACTCTACTCAAGAGTCTGTAATAACCTAAATGGGAAAAGAATCTGAAAAAGAATATAGATATAGATATAGATATAGACATGTATAACTGAATCACTCTGCTCTACACCTGAAACTAACACAACGTTGTAAATCAACTATACCCCAATATAAAATAAAAATTAAATTTAAAAATAATAATAAAATAAAATGCAACAGCCCTAAAATTTTTTTGAAGCAGTTTGTACGTACGAATAATAAAAGATGAAATGACAGAAATGAGAAAATGGAGATAAAGGGAAAATAGAGATAGGAAAATAAGTCGAAGTCAAGAACAGCATCGGTTCCCAAAACAAGCTCGATATGGGCTGCTCCAGTGGCTGGCAAAGGGCCACAGTTTGGGTCCTCATCACCAGAGCACCACTACTAACATGATTTGTGGACACGTGACGTTCGAAGCAGCTTCTCCTAGTACTGGACCCCGAGAGAAACTTCACGTGTGTCTTCACAGGATGGTTCTAGATGGCACATAAACCAGGCCCTGACGACACCCCCTCCATAGCCAACACTGAGCTTCGCAGTAAAGGCTCCTGTAAAGCTGATGGCAATGTTAAGAGAAGCCAAGATAATCTGGTCCTAGAACACAATTTTCTGATGGTCTGTTTTCCAAAGATAAGCTGAGACACTCCAGAAATGGAGAAAAGGTATACATTTTAGGCCCCTTCATTTATAGCCTTGTTCAGGACCATTAGACACTACAAAGGAAATATCCGGGCTTTACAGCTCAGAAACCTGGGTTTCTACCTCGACACCCTCACCATGTAACTTTGGGCAAAGAGTTCAAACTCCTTAAACCTCAGCTGCTCTCCCAAGCCATTGTTTTTGTTAAACGGGATAAACACAAGTGTGCCCAGCTGGGTGGCTGGTACATAGCAGACACCCTATTAATGGTAAGGAAACCTGAATCTAAATAAACAAAGAAAGGCCAAATATAAGAGGTGCTGAATGAAGTACAGAGGAAAGAGATTTCAGGTGATGGCAAAGGTTGCCGAACAAGAAAATAAATAGTTTAGGGCAGATTAATGTGAAATATTTTCCAGTGCTTTCTCCTAGTAGGTATTGTTCCATTTATGACCACTGCCTGTTTCCTGTCCTCTAGTTTAGAAATCTCCTCTGTATAATTAAGGCAATGTTCCTCACATGTCTGACCAGGCGGATCTTCCAGCCATGAGGACAAAGCCCTTTAAGCCTGGTTGGAATGTCCAGAAAGCATCTGTGAATATGACTGTCGTTTTCGGAATAGGGTAGCGAGGTTAAGATTATAATCTTCATTTTCCAGACACTGCCTTAAAGACAATAATGACACCAGCCACAGAATTCCAAGTATGCAACAGCCTATTGTCTGGACAACAGTGATTAAGGCATAAATTAGGGAAGGTTTTGGCAGCCCTACATGCCATGAAATGGACCCACGGCTGGAGCCCTTGGGACACCAGATGGAGAAGAAAGGAAGATGCATGAGCTGTGACTCCCTTAAGGTCTGAATGCAGCTATCTCCTTGGTAGACTGCATTTCAAAGCCAGAAGAAAAAAAAAAAGTTTTCAAGAGGCTAAAATGTCCTTGAGTCCTTTTTGGCTGGCTGCTTCAATCAGGCTTTTGGCCAAAGAAAGGAGGAAAGAACCCAAGTGGCCTAAATATCACTCACCAAAAATACAACCCACATTAGGGCAGAGGCAAAGGAGAGGCCCCTCAGGACCGTTCAGTGATGGGAATTCTCTGGGTACAAAGGCTCCTGGGAGAATCCCTCCACCCGGTTCCCCAGTGACACAGGAGGACATGCTCCCGTCACAGGATTCAACTTCCCCCTTCAGGTCGCAGTGCTGAGGATACATGAACCTGCGCCTTCAGAGGTGCCCAGAAATGTGTTCACAGAAGTGGTGGCAACTTAAGAGAAAACTCCAGGAGTCGAAAGTGCAGGATGATTATTTCTAGGTAAACCAAACCATTTTCGCTTTGCCTAATTAATGTCTGCTTGGTCGGTGCTGAAAGGACCCAGTAACCACCTTTAGTTCAAAGACTTCATTTTACAGAGGAGGACATTCCGGTCAGGTGGGCTGTGGTGTAGAGCAGGTTAGTCGGGGGCCAGAAATGGGGGGGGGAATCCAGGTGTTCTGAATCCTAGCCCAGTGCTCTGTCACTAAGCCTTTTTCATACAGGAATAAAGAACAATCTTTCTCTCTAAAATTTTTTTTAAAAGGTAACATCGGGCTTCCTTGTTGGCGCAGTGGTTGAGAGTCCACCTGCCGATGCAGGGGATGCGGGTTCGTGCCCCGGTCCGGGAAGATCCCACATGCCGCGGAGCGGCTGGACCCGTGAGCCACGGCCGCTGAGCCTGCGCGTCCGGAGCCTGTGCTCCGCAACGGGAGAGGCCACAACAGCGAGAGGCCCGCGTACCGCAAAACAAAAACAAAAGGTAACATTGCCTCAATTTATTTCCTGCAAGGAAATATATTAATGGTAATTTAATGTCTCTATTTCAAATGTGAAGAAGGTTGACTTGAGAAATAAAGTCCTTTGGAAATATACAACAAATATGGTTACCCAACGATAGAAGCTTGGACTTTTTTAACTGGACATAAAACCTAGATAGATGCTCTTTCCTATTTTGGGGGAAAGACTATGAAGGTAACTTGAATGGAGGGTGAGCTAAGACCTGGCATTTACTTAATCCCAAGGGGATCTGTTTTGTGCCCCAACTGAAATGGGGATAACGTTCTTCTGGGTAAACTAGAATCAAGATGGAAAAAGGGCCTAGAGAAAAGAAAAACAAAAAGGAGTATCCTCTCTTCCTATTTTTGAAAACTCACAAATTATGATTTGATATTACTGACTCCATCTTTCTCTCAAGATACTTAGGCAAATATTAACTTAATTTGATCCTGGGGCCTTTTTCCTAAGAGCCCACATATAACCTCACAGGATGTGTCCATTCGGTCATGACAGAAAGAGTGGCACCTGGCCAGCCATCTGTGGGGACCACCTTTCCCCAGCTGTGTCCCTGGAGCAGCATCTGGGGTCACCTCCCTCAAACCTCTCGGCCCTGTACCTCCATAGCCATGCACCTGGTTTCCTAGTGCCCCTTGGGTCATCGCTGAAGGGCCAGGTAGCCCCTGCCTGGACTGGCCCTGGTCCCAGAAGACCCAGAGGCAAACTGAGTTGTCACATAACTCCTGGTTGCCGGCACCCTTTCGTAGAGCTCAGCAGGGAGGGATACAGCAGGGGTCCGCAACCCCCATTAGGAACTGGGCCGCCCAGCAGGTGAGTGATGGGTGAGTGAGCAAAGCTTCATCTGCCGCTCCCCTTCACTTGCATCACCACCTGAAGCATCCCCCAGCCCCCGTCTGTGGAAAAACTGTCCTCCACGAATCCGGTCCCTGTTGCCAAAAAGGTTGGGGACCGCTGGGACACAGGACTCCTCAACCCCACTACAGGGCCCAAAGTGAAACATGAACGACGTCAGCAACATGGAAACACTATTTTCCAATACTGCATCGGCACTCATTTCAAATCATGTTTTAGTTCCTCAGTTCTGGCCAGTTAAAAGGGGAAAGAAAACATCCTACAAAGTTGCAAGGTAGTGATATCTGGAATCAAAATCACACGAGCTAGATTTTTATCGACACCAGCCCTAGCTCTTTGCAGCTGTGTGACGAGGCTGGGCCTTACAATACATTTCCCGTTACTTGTTTCATGCTCTTTCTGTTCCAGGTTCAGAGAGAACCGTGTGGGCTCTGCTGCTGCATTGCCCCGTTGAAATCTTCCCCATGAGGCCAGTATCCTACAGATCAGTCCCAAGTCAATCCCCTTATGCCTTCCGGTACTTCTAGGTCGTGTTTCCTTTATTCACTCTAAGTAAACTGCACAACTACAGGGTTTATATCTGACTATAATGATGAAAGATCATTGTATTATTATCTATATTACATATTATAGCAAATCAAGATCTAAGAGAATTATGCATAGCAGAGCTACCCTGACACACAGAAGTTCCTGCAAAGACGGCTGAGAAGTGAAAGGCAGACATTGAATTCCATTTTCCCAATTATTCTCATTGTAAAATGGGAGAACTACCCTTGGGATTGAAGGAACCCCTCTAAGCCGGGGGCGGGTTAAGCATCTTCAAGAAAGAAGAGGGAATGAGAGAACTGCGTCCTTTTCCACTGCCTCTGGGTTTCACACAATAGAAGTAATACTCAGTTTAAGTGATTAATTTTGCTTGCATTTTATTCTAAGTATGGATCACACAGAAAGTGGGCATAATATTAATGGGAACGAATTATTGACATTTTCTGCACGCAACCTGGTTCTACGAGGGAAAGCATTCCTCAGAGAAAGAAGAGCCGTGTGGTTCTGGTTTTAGAGGCACATCCTTATTCATACATGCCACATTCCTGAGTATTCCATGACAGTCTGTGTCTGCAGAGTGACCTGGTTGGCTTTATTTTTGGTGTAGGCTGGTCAATTCACATCCACCAGGAAGGTAGTTCAGCCAACTCATGAAGTCGATTAATTGTTTAAATTGGACTGATCAACAGTTTCTGGATTGTGTGGACGGATACAGGCCCAGAGATGAGTTATGACTACCCATCAATCACGCAATACTTCTGCTTTCACACAGCTGATCATACAATTAGCACGTGATTGCATCTGCGTGTTAAGAAAGCAGCATTGTGGTGCGAGTGGGGTTCTGATCGTTGCAATAACAAAAATGCAGCAACAGGAGCACAAGTCTTTAGAATTAGTCTGTCACATGCCCTGTCTTTATGATGTTGGCCACTGCACACGAGTTAGAAAGGAAAGGCCTTTCAGGTCCAACATGCAGTACTTTTCCTATTATTTCTTTATGACCAATTAGGACTTTTCCCTGCCCCACCAAAAATATTTTAAAAATCTTTCTTGACTGTGATTCAGACCCTAGAAGATACCAAATAATCATAACTCACTCCTAGGCTAGAGGGCCTAAAAAAATCCACCAATGCAGGACCTAGCCAGGCCACAAGTTGAGCTGAATGGTGCAGCCGTGTCCCGTCCCAGTTCCCTGGGGCCCAAGTCAACGTGCTCTCAACTACTCGCTGCTGCTTCTCCAGCAGCCTCTGGAAAAGGAGCTCAGACACAGCAGATTGTCCCTTACTGTGACCTCCTGCCTTCAGAAAGGTGGCGGACGGGGGGACCTAAGAGGTAGAGCCTAAGATGTGGAATCTTACAAAGGTCTAGATACGCAACTTTTCCTGTGAAAACTACTTTCAATGGGAAAGATAACTTCAAAGTGGTATTTTACAGATGCCAATGTCAGAAATCCCCATTCGGAGAATGAGGTGTTAATTCTAGGTTGCAAAAATTTGACTTAAGTCTACTTGCCTCCGACTCAAGCCTGACTCTCTCTCCCAAAGCAAAATTTGCTTTTCCTTTGGGAGAAAATTAGCAAAATGGAGTCTAGGAGGAGACTATGGCGTCTCTAAAGAGATCGCTCACTGCCGTGCACGGCACTGTGCTGGGGCTGGGAGGGGTCAAGGGTGAGCAGGAAACACTTCTCAAAGGGTCTGTCACCACATGGGATGGAAATAAGGAGGGCTGGGGGCTGCGGTTTGCCCAAGAGCCCTTGGAAACTATGCCTGAGAGTCAGAAGGGCTCTGAGTGTGCCCCTGTCCAGCTTGAACCTGGAATCTACACTTTTTTTTTTTTTTTTCTGATGGGAAATGTTGGTTTGTTTCCACCTCACCTCTAGAATTCCCATGGCCCATTACTTCCAGGAAGAAGTACACAAAGGTCACGTAAATGTTTTACGAGCTGGATTCACCCAGACACTGCTTCCTCAGTGCTCCGGCAATTAAAGGATGACTATACAGGAATGGCAGGGACTTTTGACAAAAAAGGAACACGGGAGTGACTCCTGGGCCCTAAAGACCACACCGAGCAGGTATCGTTTAATTAAGAAATGAGCTGTGGCTGAGTAATATTCCATTGTATATACGTGCCACCAGTAAAGATGTTAGAAAAAAATTAAAATTAAAAAAAAAAGAAAAAGAAATGAGCTGTGTTTTGGTAACATCCACGTTATACTTGAAAGCAAGCCATCTGCCTATATTCAAATACATTTAATCCCTACGTCGAACAGACATGATTTACAGAAACTACAGAAGAAAAACAATACTCCTCCGAGTAGAAAAGCAACCTATGTGTTTTAAAATCTTTTTTTTCTGAGTAACTGATAAACAAATCACTTGGAACCGAAAGGAGGACCTAAACGAGGGTGTTAAAACATCCACCTTTTGCCCTGGGTGGAATCCTCAGCTCAGAGAGACCTCCATCCACACGTGAGCCCGTCCGTGCAAGGAGGGGAGCGCCCGTGAGCTCAGATCGATACGATGACGTATGGAGATGGATCTCGTCCCGGACTGAGCACTTTAACAAGCTCGTCTCCGTGACCTTTGCCCAGTGGCACAAATGAGACTCCACCACAAACCACATTCTCCAGTGCGGCCCTTCCGTCTCTGCTTGCTTCAACACTGCAGGCAGACCTCAAAGATGACTATGAGAAATGACAGTGCATCTTCTCTACAGACTAGGTCTTGAAGAATTTGTACGTTCTGTCTGAAATTATGGGCAAGATAGCATAAGTGCTTGCTTTTAAAGCATATTCTCTTAAGAAGCACCCTTTTCTTCTTCTTCTTTTAAAGCTAAAGGTGCTGGATGTCTCTCTAAGCAGGAAGCCTCATGACAGCTTCACTTCATCCTCCCTTAAGAGCTCAGGAGATATAGCCGTGCTCACCCCCTGTGCTTCTCAAACTTCAAGGCACCGTCAGTTAACTGGGACCTTGTTAAAATGCACGTTCTGATGCAGCAGCTTCTGGGACTGGGGTCCTGCACATCTAACAAGCTGACCAGTGAGGCCGGCACTGATGGAATCACCACCCCTTGAATAAAAAGTTCCAGAAAATTCCAGCAAAAAATGGGTATCTCCCCTCCATATGTGCATGTGTGCGCACACACGGCCTCACACATACACTCGCACACCATCGTTTTGGGCCCAGGAATATGGCACGAGAAAATACACAGAGATGGTAAAGGGTGAGAGCCTGGGAATCGGACAGGCCGGATGCAAAGCCAGACTCCACCCATGGCTGCCAGAGGAGGGTGACACTGGGTAAAGGACTTAACTCCTTGAGCCTTACTTTAGTCCAGCTTCCATCAAATTCTTTTTTTATTTTATTTTATTGGATTATAGTTGATTTATAGTGTTGTGTTAGTGTTTCAGCAAAGCGATTCAGTTATACATATGCATATATCTATTCTTTTTCAGATTCTTTTCTCATGTAGGTTATCACAGAATATCGAGTAGAGTTCCCTGTGCTCTACAGCAGGTCCCTGTTGGTTATCTATTTTATGTATAGTAGTGTGTGTATTTAATCCCAGCTCCTGATTTATCCTCCTGCCCCAGCTCCCATCAAATTCTAATTAACACTGACACCCTGAATTTGGGAGGAGAGTTCACTGAGCTAGTGCATGCCTGGAATTTGGGCAAGGCTTGGGCTCAATAAATAATACTTGCCCTTTCTAGAGGCCACCCCTGTGCTTCCACAAAAGTCTGCCTCAGTCCGTCACCCTCAGCTCAACGGTTACTACCAGCCAAGAGTTCAACCCAAACAAAAACCAAAGCAACAACTCCAGGCTTTTGTTGGGACGTGGTCCCTCCAGTAACTTCGTTCCCCGTCCCGGGGGCTGACCAGACAGAAACTGTAGCTGCTGCGCGAACCCGGAGGATCTTGACCTCAGAACGATGAGGGCCCTGGTACCCAGCTGTCCCTTTACCGGCCAGTCCCAGTCAAGGCGCAGGCGGCACCGGGTGAGTGAGTGCGTGCACGCCGGTGCCTGTTGGTCAGTGACCTCCACAAACATCCGTCTGCCCCCACGGTTGCCCCGGCCTTGCTGGCATCCCTGCCCTGGCCCTGGAGAGCGACTTCTCGACCACTGACAGCCAGAAGGGCTTTGTTCCCCTGGGTGTCTCCACTGACTTGCTGGTGTGAAAATTCTGGTTTGGGAACTGCATAGCTGGCATCAAGCTTTAATCCCTATGAGACAGTAAATACCCACAGGAGCGATATTTAAACCACTGGTCTTACAAGCGCGGTCAGAGGGTCCAAGAGGTGAAAACTGTCTTCCCATGTGTGCTCAGATGCTATTTGCCCTTTGACCCTCTGCCTCTCAGGACATGCAGAGGCCCCAGGATGAAATGACATCACTCTTGTGGCAGATGGAACGCGTGCTGGTGAATTCTTGTGCTTTAACCATTTCTCAGTTTTAACTCCTAAGACGTTAATAGTGAGTTAAAACTCACATGAACTAAAGGTCTTGGGGTCATTTTCAAGAGTGCAAAGGGTCTTGCAGTCGAAAAGTCTGAGACCGCTGCTTTAAATCAGTATCAATCATTTTCATATTAACATGGGTGAATTTCTGACAAGTTAACAATTCTGTGCAGTGAGTTCAAACCCTGCTAGGGTTTGTGGGAGGGTCCTCAACAGTGACAAAGAAGGGGTGGGGACGAACTGGAGAGACAGACATAAGTAAATACCACCGGGGGAAAGAGGGTAAGATGATCAACATATGTCCCAGATTTTGTCAGACAGCCCCAATTCCAGAGAGTTCCGTGACTACACTTGTCACATCAATGGCTTCGAGTTTGGTGGTGGTGGTGGTGGTGGAATATATGGACATATTAGCTAAAAAATAACAAGCAAAATACTATAGTCATATCAGGAGGAGGGAAATTAATTCCAGGTCAAGCCACTGAGGGAGGTTCCTGGAATTGGGGTTTAGCTCAGCCACGTCTGATAAATGCTGTGAAGGGGTCTCGCTGCGAGCCAAGCATAGCAGTGGGAAGGCTGCAAAGGTGGGAAACACTTGGGTGTGTCTAGACCGGGAGGGAGATGGAAAGGTGGAGATGCTGACATGCCTGCTGAGTGGTTGTTAACTTTTTCTGCACATGCAGCTCACAGCTGAGAGCAGTGTGATGAATCAGAAAACCCAGGATAACCGCTGGAAGGAATGTGCTCTCTGAGAGTCAGGGAAGGAAAAATTGGGGGCGACTAAAGGAGACCTCTGAGCGGTGACATTGGTGACTGAGCAACTGTGTCCTGCAAGCAGTGCACACGCTCCTGTGGAGTCTGGAAGAGAAGGTTTACAGGCAGAACGTGTAGTGTGAGAAGGGAAGGAACCAATAACGGATCTTAGAGGAAAATACTGTTTTGGGGCTGCGTAAAGGGAGGGGAGCCAGGGAGGGAATAATCAAGAGTTGGTGCCCTGGAACCTCAGGGATGCAAAACGGAGAGCAGACGAGGCCGGAGAAGATGTGGTTAAGGTTACCGGGAATGTCTTGAGATTCGTGAGCCGTTTCCACTGAGAAGTGTGGGTACAGCCCCCGTGCTGGTCCAGCTCCAGACCTCCCGGCTGTGGAGACACCGGGAGCAGAGCCAAGGGCGCAGGTACCGTGATGGGAAAAGGCAGGATGATGACAGACAGACAGGAGGCCGGATCAGGGAGGTGGGCTTTGTTTTTTTTAGGAGTGGAGACTTGCACATCCCTGTGGACTGAGGGGACCCAGTGGAGGCGGAAGACTGAGAAGAGCTGACATGGAATGAAAAATCTGACAGAAGATGTGCTCTCGGAAAGTGGGATGAAGAGACCAGTGGGAAAGTGAGAAGAGAAGGGACCCTCAGACTTCACGACAGGAAGAGGGGACATGGAGCTGAAAGCACACACGTGAGCCTTTCCGGAGGAGAGGTTTTGAGAGAGAGAGAGAGAGAGAGAGAGAGAGAGTGTGTGTGTGTGTGTATGTGTTGATGGGCGGGCATGTGCATTTGTGGAGTATACCTGTGGCTAAAACATGGCAGGTAGGTCAGAGCTAAAAGAAATCACCTGAACGAAGCCCTCAGCTTCTTCAGAAACTACAATTTGCCTGCCCTTTGCTTCTTTGTCCCAGTTTTGTTTTTTTGTTTTTTTGTTTTTGCATTACGCGGGCCTCTCACTGTTGTGGCCTCTCCCGTTGCGGAGCACAGGCTCCGGACGCGCAGGCTCAGCGGCCGTGGCTCACGGGCCCAGCCGCTCCGCGGCATGTGGGATCTTCCCGGACCGGGGCACGAACCCGCGTCCCCTGCATTGGCAGGCAGACTCTCAACCACTGCCCCACCAGGGAAGCCCCTTTGTCCCAGTTTTAACCCAGGTCAGGGCTGTAGAGAAAAAAAGGGACTCCCATGTGTTGAGATTTACCTCTCCTCGGGGGATCTCTATTATTGCACTCATCATATCGTAATGCAATTATCTGAGGGTTGTTTTTTTTTTAAATTCTAAAGAAGTTTCCGGAACTCATTCTCTCCCTACCCTCATACCCTTCCATTAATAATAGACATAATTATTTGGCATAAATAAGCCTGTCTGACATACTAATAAAAGGAAGCACAAAGTCACTTAGCAACAGTGAGTGAATCATATTGGACTCTTGTAGTTCTTTTCCTTCCCTTCAGCCTGAGTGCACCCAGCATTTGTCTCCTGACCGCGGAGTTCGATAAACTGATGGTCTCACAGCCATCCTCCCCTCCCTCCATCCTTCAGTGGGGACGAGGGACTGAGCAGGTCTTACATCAGACCCAAGAGAAACGGGAGAGAGTGATACAGACAAGAGAAATGTCTCGTAAAATTCTGCTCAATACACAGCAGATACCAAATGCATACAAATAAACACATCTGCTGGTTTGAACAATAAACTGTGTTGGTCTTTACCAGGTATCTCTCTATTTTAGAATTTCAGAAATGTAATTCTTGTTGGGGAACAGTGTTCTAGCCTCTCCCCCCAGCCCCCAAGCAGCAGTGGTGTTCCTGTTTTACACACACGAGCCCTCCTCTTTGAAGATGGAGACAATTTCATCTCTGTGCGTCCAGATTCTCGCACGGCGCACTCTGCAAATATTATTTTATTTAATTTAAAAATACCACGTCAGTAGTACATGATCCCCATTATATAGACAAGGACACTAAAGTTAAGTCCGTTTCCTAAGAGCATATGACCAGAAAGCGGCAGAGCTAGGATCTGAGGCAAGTTTGACTCCAAAGCCCATGTAATCTCCGCATCAGGAGGCCTCTGCTGTGATCAGAGGGAAGTAACAAGTTACCCAGCGCCCTGCACCAAGCCCAGGTACTTGTATCAAATACAGCACCAGACTGTCAAGCATCAATTAAGGAAAGAAGAAATTGACATTTCCTGATCATAGACTACCAGGAACTTGATCTGTGTGAAGTCCTGTAATCCTCCATTATGCCTGTGAAAGAAGTAACCTTGTGTTCTGCGGAGGGGAGCCTGACTCTTACACAACATAGGTAGAGACCCAAGACTGGGAGAGGGGACACGTCCAGCTCTGACCACTACCCTCTCCATTCTCAAGAGGTGCAGATCCAGGGTAACTCATGCTGGAACCTCCTTGGGGCAGAGCCCGGATGTTTCTGCTGCCCGTGACTTTCAAGTCATTTGACCCGGTACAAAACTGCTTACAATATTACCCGACGACAGAATTCTTAATACGTTGTTACCAAACCAAACTTGGGTCCGCTTGCCCACCATGCAGCAAAACCAATCTACTGACACCAGGTTGTGGTAAAGGAAAGTACAGCGTTTATTGCAAGATGCCAAGTAAAGAGAACGGGCATCTCGTGCTCAAAAGACCTGAAGAACTCCCGGATGGCTTTCAGGGAACAATTTTTATTTATTTGCTCAACTATTTTGTTTCCTGACTGCTTTTCCTTTGTTTCTGCATCTCCTGACTTCCCTAATCAGTAACTGCTTGAGTCTGCTCTTTGGAACTCAGGAGAGGCCCAGGAGGCTACAGCCTTTTTCTGCCAACATGAAACGGGGGACGCAGAGGGGCTTTTGTACCCGGGAGGGCACCAAAGGTTCCTGCTCGGTTTCAGTATTACATTTTAGCACTGTCCAGCCCAGCTTTATTTTGTAGCTAGAAAACCTGATTCTCTTTTGGTAAGTATGTTCGCTTTCCTGTTACATTTTGTACTTATGGGTACAGTACACTTTGGTACTGCATTTTGTGATGCCAAAAATGTTTACTGTGCTTATATTATCAAATCGATGAATTAGAGAAGGCACTCCAAAGGATTAATGCATTTTTAATGAAACTGTGTAACTCATTACTCTCTAAGAATAATGGCAGCTCTGTGGAGGTTACAAATGAAAGTCTACAAATGGGTATCATTTAGCTGTCACATGGAAAAAAACTTTCTAGAGAGTCCATCAGGCTTTAAAATCATTGTTTATTTGTATGATTTCCACCTTCTCTGATTAGTTCACCTAAAAAAGTTACTTTTAATTTATGACAAAAAAATTATTATTCTCCTTAACCATTACTGTTCCTTTTTACCTTGACTCTGAGCTTCAGAAAGGAACACAAACTATTAAAATAAACTTTGGGGGCTTCCCTGGTGGCGCAGTGGTTGAGAGTCCGCCTGCCCGATGCAGGGGACACGGGTTCGTGCCCCGGTCCGGGAAGAGCCCACATGCCGCGGAGCGGCTGGGCCCGTGAGCCATGGCCGCTGAGCCTGTGCTGCGCAACGGGAGAGGCTGCAACAGTGAGAGGCCCGCGTACCGCCAAAAAAAAGAGGCTGTACAGGAATCCATAGAATCTATAAAAATTGGTATCATCTCACCATTTGAATTGATTTAAAAACCATGTATGCTCACATATTTAAATTACTTTTAAAGTTGATAAGAAAATTTAAAGGAAACCTCAAATAAGATTTGCATTGAGAATAATTTGGATAACAAAGAGAATATTTGTTACTCAAGAAGAGGCAGCTGGAATTAATGCCTTAGGATGAAATGAATTGATTTTATTTCAGAAATACAGTGAGTTGAACTACGGTACACGTTTCTTTAAAAATTCCATCTTACTCTGCCCTACCCTATTAGTAGGTAAATCTAAATGGTTTATGGAACATCAAAATATAATGACAATAAGGTGACAGTACTGTTTTATGTTGTTGATAGTCTGATATCTGTAACCCATTGTCTTGTTTAAAGTTACCATTAGAAATCTAAGTTCTGAAAAAGATCTTAACTGGTAGAAAAATTGTGACTTTTTACCTTTAAATGAAAAAAATGCTATATGAAAAATAAGAATTTCTAGACTGGGGACTTCCCCGGTGGTCCAGTGGTAAAGAATCCGCCTTCCAATGTGAGGGACGCGGGTTCGATCCCTAGTTGATCGGGGAACTAAGATCTCACATGCTGCGGAGCAACTAAGCCTGTGCGCCACAACTATGGAGCTCGCGCGCCACAAGTATGGAGCTCGTGCACCTCAACTAGAGAGAGAAAACCCGCACACCGAAACTAAGAGCCGACTCAGCCAAAAATAAATAAAATAAACTAAATAAATAATAAATAAATCTTAAAAAAAAAGAAAAGAATTTCTAGACTGAAAAACTCAGAGACATTTGGTCTGAGTTTAGTTTCTTAGAGCTTATGTTAGATGGGCCATCCTAATTCCAGAAAAAAATATAAATTCTTTTCAGGTAGCTTGCATACATTTTTAGATGAAAAACTGATTAATAAATGTAAAAGCTTTGTAGATTCACAGCAAGTGTTTTGAGGTTCTTTGTTGAAAAGCTGACAACTAATTATAAAAACCTGACTGGACTAATCAATTACTCAGATCAACATTAGGTGCCTATTATAGACATAAACATGGGAATTATATCTCCCTTAAGTAATGTACTAAAATCAGGAGTCTAAAACATTCTAATATGAAATGTGAAGGTATAAGCAGTCTAATTGTTAAAAGTCCTTCCAAATAATGAGTTGAGTTTTATGTGAACATTAGACACATAAAAGACATTTTTTTGTTTCAGTTTGATTCCTGATTTTGTAATTAGCTTTGTATTTTTACAATGACAAATGTCAGTCAAATAATTAACTAATACAAAGTACCCTGGTGCAAGACATCTAATGTGGTCTCATAACGACCACAAAAAATCATTTTTTGTTCTTCAAGGAAATTCCAGAATTGTATACATGAATATGATTATGATTTCTAGAATGTAAACATGCTGATCTTTAAAAAAGTGCATCTGTGATATCCAAGTCTTTTTTCAGCATCTTTCCCCTAATTCAGAGATATCCTTAGACTAATGATAACAAAAATGTCCTCCTACAAACAAGCTTTCGGGGAGCAGTTGCCTGTCAAATATATACTGTTCCTTCCCTCCAGTGAGAACTCTCTCTCTGTGGCATTGAGGAAAAAAGCAAGCTCTTAAACAGATTCAAACCGGAGGAAAACCAGAAATAGAGGCAACCAGACACCTGCTGACAAACAGTGACAAATCCCACTGACACCGCAGTGACCCCCAGTTAGTCAAGATTTAATTAAGGGCATAATTAAGTCAGTGGAACA